CTGAAAGCAAAAGGCCCTTTTATTCAGTGCATTCAAGAGAAGGCCAGTTGATGTAGAGACTCCCAAAGGAGTCCCAAGGCAGAGGTAGGGGCACTGAACCCAGGATGAACAACTGATCCCTTCAAAACCGATGAAGCCCAGTTCAACCCCTCCTTACTCTGCATTGGAAGCAGAGTTGACATCTCCAAAACTGAATGGGGGAGGGCAGGGAAACACAACCAGGGATGGTGTCTACAACCAGCCTCCCTAATAGGAGGAAGAAATTCTTTATGGTCACTTGTAACTTCCTAAGTTGAAAAGAAATTGCTGGGTATGGTTGTACAGGTCTCTAATCCCAGCTGAGAAGGCTTATAGATCTCTTTTCAGAATGTGTTTAAACGCATAAAATAAGATACATGAGGGAAAAAAACCTAATTATATTGAAATGCAGTTATCCTAATATTTAAAAAGAAACAAGTTCACAGACCCTTGGTTAAAAAGCTTTAGACTAGATTGGTCTCTGTGGTTTCTTCTAGTTCTGTGTCTCTGATCCTATGAGCTGATGATCCTGTGGCCTTGTGCAAGTCATTTAATTTCTTTGGGCCTGTTTCCTCATCTGTAAAGTGAGGAGGTTGCACTAGCTGACCTTTGAGGTCCCTACTAGCTCAAGATTCATGACCTTAAAACTAGAGAACATCACACATGAAGTTCTGAAAACATGCATGAGTTCCATGATATAGCCACAAAAGATTTCTATCTCATTTTCATAAAAATCTTCTTCAAAGCAGGCTGGCTAGCTCTCCTGTACTTTAAGATTTAAGATTAACTAATAAGCATGTGCTGGATTACACTTCTACTCACTCCCTGTGTTCATTCCTGACTTAGTCAACCCAGACCTTGCTGTCTATACTGCCTGGACTCTCCTTGTTGACCCTAGAAGATGTCATTGCTATATCCTTTGTTGCAAAGACTAGTCTCTATATGAAGAAATGTTAAAGCCAAACTCTGGGCACCATGAAGAAGACCTTAATTTCTAATCAACTCAATTACCAATCATGATTTCAGCCAGAGTACTGGTGATGAAACATGTTACCACACCTCCTAAAAGAAGGGTGATGCACTCAGGGTGCAAAGTGAGACATATTTTTAGGACATGACTAATGTGGGAATTTGGTTTTTCTTTACTATGAATATTTTCTATAAGAGTTTTTTTTCTCCAAAATTAGGGGTGTAAGCAGGGAAAGGAAGAAGAGAAAACCAGTTTATCTTAATTTTTCTAAAAATTTAATTTTGAAAAATGACATTAGTTTGTTCCCTACTTTGTTCCTAACTATGCTTGGACATGGAACTTAATTTCTCTGTGCCTCAAGTTTTTCAGCAGTAAAATGGGTACACACGAGGGCATAAGACACCTTCAAATAAAAAGTATTATGGAAAAGCAAAGTAACTGACCTTGGGCAAGTCATATAACTTGCCTAGTCCTCAGTTTCCTCAAATGTAAAGTAAGAGAGTTGGATTAGATGATCTCTGAGATTGTTTCCAGCTCTAGATCTATGATTCTATGAAATGTACTATGCCTATTCTCTCAAGAATTTTCTCTCTTGCTGGTTCTAATCCCATAAAGTTTGCTTTGGGATTACCATAACTTTCCCCTTTGCTGGAAAAGTGAAAATTACTAAAATTTCACCTACTGGTAAAATTTAAAAAATCCCCAAAACAAAGCAGGAGACTTGCAGATTTCACCTTGATGCTGTTGCAACAATCTAGAAAACAGGAAACTTAAACGAAGAGTTTACCAATGGTGTTCCCCAAGTGTAGAGCACTCAGATTTCCTAACCTCTTTTTTAATGAGTTTTTGGCAGACTTCACATGCCCTTGGGAAAAACTCAGAAATTGTTGAGTTTATTTGTTATTCAACTAAAGCTCTCTCCCTACCACAGATCTACATGAGGCTTTTGATACAGTATTTGTTTTTCAGTAACAATAAATTGCTCTGCTCATAGTTTCTTGCACAGCTAACTTTCCTCATGCTATCTCCACCTTTCAAAATCTGCTAAAGCCCTTCTCAAAATCCACGTCTTCCACGAAAGCCTTCCTTACTGATTCTAGTCAATATTCATATATTCTTGTCCCCCACCCCATAGCACTTAGAATCAATTCGGAAGAGGCAAGACACTTAACAATAATAATAGCACTTTGAACACTTGTATGGCATTTTAACGTTTGCAAAGAACTTTAGAAATAAGATCTCATTTTATCCTTATAATAATCTTGGAAGATATGTGGTGTTATTATCCCGTTATGCAGATGGGAAAGCTGAAGCAGACAAAAGTTGTGTCTTGTCCAGCATTACACTGGTATGGGGCAAGTGAGGGAGTGGATTTGTAATTTCATTAGTATAAGGAATTCAAGGATGAGGAAGTTCCTTCTGTTAAGAATGGCCAGCACCTTCTCTGCAACTTAGAATCTCAGAGAGTTATTCTGCCCATAGGATTAGAGATCCAGAGTCAGAAGGTTCCTAAGAAGGCAGGTAATTCAAACCCTTCATTTTACAGATAAGGAAATTGAAGCCTAAAGAGGTAAACTGACTTGGCCAAAGTCACTTAGATCAGTGGTGTAAAACTCTAAAAAGCATCTCTGTCAGCCAAATTCTGACTTAGAAAACCACAAACCAACGTTAATTATATTGTATTGCATTTTTAGTTACATTTCCCAATTATATTTTAATCTTGCTTAGACTGCACTCACTGTGAGATTAACACCTGTAACTTAGATAGTAAGTAGCCAAGGCAAGATTTGAACCTGGATCCTCTGACTCTAAATCCATCCTTCTTTCCACTGCACCACTTTTCAGCAGACCTCAGTCTTTCAATAAGCATTTTCATCTTTAATACTATGAGTTGCATGCTTGCGGTTTAGGGCATTGGTCTCAGTACACATGGGAGTGCCGTGTGTCTGTTTGCTCAGAGTTTCTGGGCCAGAATGATAAACCAAGAGAATAGGAAAATCCTCTAAAGAGTATAGGTGCTCATCATGTCATGCAAATTTCTGACATTAGGGTTATAGATTAAAGGTCATTGAGAGGTAAGAGTTCATTGATTTTTTTTTTGTGCCTACCAGAGTACCAATGAGGGCATAGATGCACAGTAAATACTTGTTCAATTGAATTACTAGAATAATGAGGCCCAGAATATGAGATCAAGTGATAAGAAAACATGTATTGTTTTGAACATGTATTCTTATGGAAGCTAGGATAACTACATGTTTTTCTCCTGCCCCCATACTTCTGGACTAAGTCTATCCTAACAAAGGAGAGATTTGGGTCCATGATATCTCTAAGGATACCACAGTCAAGGCATCCTTCTCATTTCTTCTACTCTTGTCTAAGTCGTAATAATCAAATATCATGCCATACTGGAGACCCCCTTTATTTTTTAAATTTTATTAATTTTTTGTTACATTTTAAGTTCCAAACTGTCTCTATCCCTCCCTCCCTCCACGTTCTGCACTAGAGAAGGCCACCATTTCAAACACACACACATATACACACACACACATGAACACATGTGTGCACACACATATGTGTGTGTATGTGTGTGTGTATATATATATATATGTCAAACCATACTATAAATACTTCTATTTCAGTTCTTTATCTGGAGGTAGATAGCATCTTCCTTCACAGGTCCTTTGTAGTTGATTTGAATATTTATAATACTCAGAATAACTTAGTTGTTCACAGTTATTCTTCCAACAATATTGTTGTTACTATATGCAACATTCTCTTAGTTCTGCTTCATTCTTCTCTTCATTATTTCATGCAAGTCTTTCCGTGTTTTTCTAAAATCAACCTGTTCATACCACTACTATCCCAAAGATATCATAAAAAATAGAAAAGGACCCACGTGTACCAAAATATTTATAGCAGCTCTTTTTGTGGTGGCAAAGAATTGGAAATTGAGGGAATGTCCATCAATTGGGGAATGGCTGAACAAGTTGTGGTATATGAATGTAGTGGAATACTGTTGTGCTATAAGAATGATGAGTAAGTAGGTTTCAGAGAAACCTGGAAAGACTTACATGAACTGATGCTGAATGAAGTGAGCAGAACCAGGAGAACATTATACACAGTATCAGCAACATTGTGCAATGACCAACTATGATAGACTTAGATCTCAGAAATATAATTATCTAAGACAATTCCAAAAGACTCATGATGGAAAATGCTATCCATATCCAGACAAAGAAATATAGAGTATGAATGCAGATTGAAGCATACTATTTTCACTTTTTTTGCTTTTTCTTTCTCATGGTTTTTCCCTTTTGTTCTGATTCTTCTTCCACAACATGACTAATGTAGAAATATGTTTAATATGATTGTACATATATAACCTATATCAGATTGCTTGCCTCTTGGGGAGAAGGGAGGGAAAGGAAGGAAGGAGAAAAAAAATTGAAACTCAAATTCTTATAAAAGTGAATGTTGGAAACTAAAACAAACAAACAAACAAAAAACAAAAAAAAAATTGTCCTGCTCATAATTTCTTACAGCACAGTAGTATTCCATCACAATCATATACCACAACTTAATTAGCCATTCCCCAGCTGGTGGACATCCTCTCAGTTTCTAGTTCTTTGCCACCACAAATGGAGCTGCTGTAAATATTTTAGAACATATAGGTTCTTTTCCTTTTTCCCTGATCACCTTGGGAAACAGACCTAATATTGGTATTGCTGGGTCAAAGAGTATACACTGTTTTATAACTCTTTGGGCACAATTCAAGATTACTTTCCAAGTTCCTTTATTTTTTAACTTTAATTTTTTCCCAATGAACAAGCATGTATTTTTTTTCTTCTTTACACCTTCCTCCCAGCCCCCTGTTGAACAACTCCCAAAAAATGAAAACTTCATAATAAATATGCATAATCAAGCAAAGTAAATTTCTGCATTGGCCACGTCCAAAAAATATGTTTCATTGTTAGTCCATCACTTCTCTTTCAGGAGGCAGGTAGCATGCTTCATCTCTGGTCCTCTGAAATCATGTTTTGTCATTGTATTGTTCAGAATTCTCAAGTCTTTTAGAGTTATCTGAACTTGAATCTCAGGAAATGTAAGAGGTGAGTGATGCACTCATGAAAGTATATGACTTCAGTATGGTATGAATAGAGAGGATTGAAGAGTGGTTGCCTCTCCAACACCACAGCTTCCATTCTCATTTGGCCACTGCCATGACTGAGAAAATGAAAGAAAAAGAAAGATTGTGGCTGCTACCAGGTTGCTGAGAGCAATAATGATGAAACTCTTAATTCCTCATTTCCTACTTTTTACTGGTTCTCTCACTGAATCTATTTTAAATCTCTAATTTCTTTAATTTAAAAAAATCTATTCATTTTCTGTATTAGCCAAATTTTCTCCAAAAAGCAAGCTATGTCTCAAAGATATCATTCAGTATGTATAAGAGTGTCCATAGGGGAAGGGTCACAAGCATTTATGAAGTACCTACTATGTTCCAGGAACCGTGTAAAACACTTTACAAATATTATCTTTTTTACCCTCATAATAGCCCTGGGAGGTAGCTACATTTATAATTCCCATTTTATGGTTGAGGAAATTGAGGCAAGCAGAGGTTAAGTGACTTGTCTAGGATCACACAGTAAATGTCTCAGGCTGGATATGAACTGAGGTCTAGTTGACTCTATTCACTGCAACATCCATTGTCTTGGGGGTGAGAGGAATTAAAAGAAGTAATAGAGTAAAAGGCTACGGTTGCCTAGGGACACACAAAGAGAAAAGGAAATTCCCTTTCCAAAATCATTGGGGAGTTTCTTGACTGAGAGCTCAAAACAAATCAAAGGAATTTTTATTGGAAGCATATCACAAACTCTCCCAAAGTAGAGAGTGAAAATAGATCTAGGCTGTTCTTAGATTGCCCTGAGCAAAAATTGAGCTAAGCAGTAGTGTTAGGGGACCAAAAGCAGGGTAAGGAGAAGCTAAGTCCCTCTGAAGCAGTGGACAACTCCTTACCCCCATTTCCCCATTTTCTAGGAAAGTTCAAGGAAACCCTTCCTTGGGTCAGAATGAAGGCATTAACTTAGAGAAAGTCACGCTCAGGGACCCCTGAATGGAAGAGCTAGGAAAGAGTGACTCTACTACATGAAGGTAGAGATCGTCCAAGGGAGTAGTTTATTCCTTTCTAAACAAATACAAACCCCAACCACCATTACATAAGGAAAAACTCCCTACCTTAGAACTATTCAGACGTTGAATGAGCTGCCTTGGGAAGTATGAAGTTTCTTTCTCTTTGGAGGACCTCAAGCAAAGTATAGAAGTTGAACTACAAATACACTCTGAAGTCCCTTTCACCTCTGAAATGCTGTGATTCAGTACCTATTATAATGACTTTGCAGCTGGACTTCAAGCCATGAGTCTCTCACTATTCAGTCCAAACTACATATCACTGCCAGAGTGATCTTCTTAAAATACTCTCTCTTTGTGCTATAATGTATCATTCCCCAGCTTAGAAATCTTCAGTGATTCTACACAGCCTATGGGATAAAGTCCAAACTCTTTCCTCTTGGGTTTAGGGTTCTTTACAATCTAACCTTGGCTATATTTCCAGCCTTATCTGCTAACACTCATCCAAATGAATTCTTCTCTACTATGGCTTAAGAAGTCTGTTCTCTATCTCCTGAACCTCTTTTTAAATTCTTATTTTTGAGCTTTTGCTCATTCAAGCTACCTGCTTGAAATGCCTGAAATTATTTTACCTGTGCTCATTCATTTGTTCACTCAACAACTTTTTATTAAAGGCTTGCCATCCTGAAATGACTTTGTATTTCTTTTGTGTATATCTCATATTTGTATATTCCTCATACTTGAGAGGCAGTGCTGCATAGTGTAGAGTTCAAGTCCTACCCCTCTGACACATACTTGACAATGTGACCCTTCAAAGTCAATTAACTTGTGTAAACTACTCTTTAACACCATAAGTTATATAGACAGTGATGATCTTCATTGGTAGAAGGAATCTCCTTATCTTGGAATTACATGTATCAATGAAATCAGAGGTCCAGTACCTATCTCTCTATCCTTTATTTGCTTCTCTATGGATATATTATCATCTCCACCTCCTACTCCCAACCATGTAAGCTCCTTGAGGGCAGGGACTGTCTCATTTTTCTATTGGTATTCTTAGCACCTAGCATCTGGAACACAGAAGGGACTTAAGAAGTGCTTGTTGATTTATTAATTGGTTATAGACAGATTTATTGACATTTAATACAAAGTCTTATGCTAAAGTATCCTCCTACCTACCCAAATCCAACATATCCTTCAAGGGCCAGTTCTAATCTCATTTCTTTGAAGTCTATTTTGACCACTCCAGCAGGAATTAATCACTCCCTACTCTGACCTTCTGTTATCTGAATCACTTATTTCACACATATGCTCCTAGTATATTTATTTTTTCACGTGTACTACCTACCCATCCTCCAGCATAAGATACATCTGGGTTTTTTTTTTGTTTGTTTGTTCTTTTAGCAGCATGCTATGGTTTATTGTTAACAGACATACCTGTTAAGGAAAACGCTGTGGATAAATGATGGAAACCAAATGACCCTGTCAGTCGTCTGGTTCTAATGCAGTGAGACAGATTACCTCGCCTCAAAACCCACTGTGTTGCAAATGTAGCAAAAAGTGACCATATTCCCTAGTCAAATCATATATTAAGCATCTACTAAGTGCCAGTCATTGTGTTATATTCTGGGAGTAGAAGAGAAGCAAAAGGCAGTCCCTATTCTTAAGGGTCTCACAGTCTAATGGGAGAGATAACATGTAAACAACTGTGAACAAATAAGATATATATAGGATAAATTAGAGATAACCAAGAGAGCTTCTCTCATAGTCAAAACCATGGCCAAAAGTAACATCTCTCTGGGGATATATAGAGAAAAGTTATGGTTCTCTTTTTGGGGACCATTCCAATTCTTTTTTCCTTCCCTGGACTGATACCAGCTCGAATCAATGTCTTGATGTCTTTTTGACATATTATCAGCATCTTAGGATCACATATTTAGAGCTAAAGATGACCTTATAGATCGTCTGGTCTAGGGATTCCTGTTTGTGGTTTTTTTGGGGGAGGGGCTAGGCAATGGGGTTAAGTGACTTGCCCAGGGTCACACAGCTAGTAAGTGTCAAGTGTCTGGTTTGAGACCGTATTTGAACTCAGGTCCTCCTGACTCCAGAGCTGGTGCTTTATCCACTGTGCCACCTAGCTACCCCTTGTCTGGGGATTCTTAATCTCTTTCATATCATAGAACCCTTTGACAGTCTCTGGATCCCTTTAAAGAATAATGTTTTTAAATAAATGAAATAAAATACACACATTTCAAAGGAAACTGTATTGTAAGGCAGTTATCAAAACAGCTTTAAAAACCAAGTACGTGGACCCCAGGTCAGGGTCCCCTCATTCTGTTCTTACCCCATCATTTTACAGATGAAGGAATGAGGTCTAGAGAGATACAGTGAACTGCCTGAGATCACACTGCTCTTAAGTGGCATTACCTAGGATCTGAACCCAGATTCTGAGACCCTGAAACCAGTGTTCCTTCTACCATTACACAACATCAGGAAAGACAGAACCCCGTAAAGAAACACAATACAGGTAACATCAACACTTGTCATGAGAGTATTTAATGTCGCTGCACATTATTGATATGAAGACGTTTTGAAAGGAAGGCTATTCATTGGACAGGTATAATCCTTTCAGCTAAATACAGGATTACAAAAGGAACCAGATTGAAAAAACAGATGCTCCCTGTCTTTGGCTCAGAGGCTGATTCAAGAATCCACTTCATGCTCAAGATCCATAAGAGAGTGATCCCCAGAAATGGCCACAGAGCAACCAGATAAAAAAAAATAGCTTTGCAGACAAAGGCCCAGTAAAAATTTATAGTGGACTTGTGAAACTGAATGCTGATGCTGTTTACTTTATTATCTGAATCAAATAGCTTTGTGTAACTCAGTGAGAGAAGAAATTGATTACAAAAGGAAAAATATTTTATGACTGGTAAATATTTAGTTTTTGTCTGCAAAGGCATAATTGTATTATTCATTGCTAAGCCACTTAAATAATAGAATTGTCTTTCTTTTAACCACAGGGAGGTAAAAGGGGGGAGAAATTAAAATTTTGGGACTTCCAGATAATAAAACATCCATGCCAAGCTGGGGAAGGAAGTATAAATTCCTGTTTAAGCCCAATTGCTACCTTACCTGCAGGAGCCGCCCTATAAATCTCTCTGCTCACCCATGAGACATGTTTCCTAAATTATTTCTCTCCAGTAGATTAAACAAAACTGATCAGACAGTAAGACAGGCTTGTCAGGAGCAGAGGTGAGACAAATCACACTCTAAATGATCTCACAGGCCATGTGGAATGATGTATGTCCATTTCACTGTATCAGTGCTCATGGAGATCAAAGAGCATCTCCCTAGCAGCAAGAAGAAATCAGTCTGTTCTAAGCAGCCTGTGACTTCAGTGACTGCAGGCAGGAGCTGTGGTCCACAAGTGAGGAGTGAGGTGACATTAATTATCCATGCTCCATTTCAAATTCTAATAAAGATCAAAGGATGTTTGTGGGAACACAGAAAATTTAAGAACTCATTAGAAGCTTAAGGAAAATAAAATTTCTCCCACCCTCCTCCCCAAAGAAAATGATAATATAGGTTGACACATATTTGCAATAGAGCTGGGGTTCTTAATGTGGAGGTCTGTGGACCCCAAAGATCTCTGTGGATAGAGTTCAGGAGGGGCCTTGAACTTAGATGGAAAAGAATTACATTTTTATTTCAATATAATTGGTTTATTTTATGCTTTTAAAAACAATATTCTTTAAAAAGTGGCCATAGGCTTCACCAAATTGTAAATGAAGACCATGACACTGAAAGTCTAAGAAAGAAGACCTGTTAATGAGAGAATGTAGATTAATGGCCATTCATTGAGTCCCTTAAATAAAAGCTTCCTCCATTTAAATTAAAAAAGAAAGTTATCCTTTCCTCCCCAAATAAACCCTTCCCTTCAACCCCAAACTGCTTTCTGGAATGTTCTAACCTCATTTCCTGCTTCCTACGAAACCCTCCCCCTTCCGTCTCCTTTTTGTATTTAATAACCAAATGTTGTTGTGTTGATTTTTTTAGAGACATCCATGCTCTTTGATTTATTACTGGCAATTAGT